AAAAAAAAAAAAGCCCTTCATTGATTTTGGCTTTTGTTTTGTATTTTTGTTTGTTTTGCTTTTTAATTAATAGATGTTGCATAAAGGAGTTTAGACTTATAGGAAAATTGATCAGAAAATATAGAGACTTTCTTATATATTCCCTCCCCACAACGCACCTTTTCTTTTTATACTAACATCTTCCATTGGTATACAGTTGTTGCAACTGATGAAACTACATTGATACTTGGTTAACTAAAGCTCATAGTTTACACTCCTTATGTTGTTTACTTTATGGTCAAAGATACAATGTCATATATACATTATCACTATATAGTACAGAATTTTTCACTGCCCCAAGTATCGCCTGTGTTCCACCTGCTCATCCCTTCTTCCCAACTCCCAAACCCTGGCAGCAACTGATCTTTTTACTATGTTTGTTTTATCTTTTCCAGCATGTCTGTAGTTGGAATCATGTGGTGTGTAGCCTTTTCTAACTCGCTTTTTTCACTTAGCAATGTAATTTAAGGTTCCTCCATGCCTTTTCATGGCTTAATAGCTTATATCTTCTTATTGCTGAATATTTCATGGTGTGGATTTATAAAGTTTATTTGTATATTCACTTACTAAAGGACATCTTGATTGCTTCCAGTTTTGACAATACTACAGGAAGTAGTACAAATACTTATGTGCAGGTCTTTGTGTGGACATAAGTGTCAACATTTTGGGTAAATGCTCAGGAGCATGGTTGCTAGATTTTATGGTAAAGACTGTATTTAGCTTTGTGAAACCTGTGGTTTTTTATTGGTTTGGATGGTTGGTTGGTTGGTTAGTTGGTTGGTTTGGATTCTCCCATCCCTTGCATTGTTTTATAGTGGTAAAATACAGAGATAAAAAGTTACTGTCTTAACTGGCCCTTTTTAATTTCAGATTTCAGAGATTTTTGATTTTGGAATATTTACATAAACTTTTCTAATTGAGTACCCCAGTTTGCTTTGAGTTTGACAGATTCAGAGTATTTCAGATTTCAGATTTTTGGATGAATGGTGTTCAACCTGTAGGGCTAATATGTTCTCTTGGTATTTGAATCGTTTAGTGTCATTTGGTTTCCTCAGGCTTTGTTCCCAGGGGTTAAGCAACAAGACAAAATTCTTGCTTATGTGACATTTTTGTTAAAAAGATAAAAGTCTTAAACTCCCTTTTAGTAATCAGACTAACATGGTAGAAATGTGCGGTTTCAGATTGAGGATTATATAAAGATTAAGGATGAGATCAGTATGGGGTGTGTGTGTGTGTGTACACATGTCAGTGCAAGCATTTTTTAAGAAAAATGGGAGGCACATAGAAACTGTGTAAGTTCAAAGTTTACCATTTATAATTCTTCCTTTGTAGGTATTTCAGCCTTCACCAGCAGATCATGAAAAATATGGTGGGGATCCACAGCACCCTCATAAACTACACATCGTTACCAGAATAAAAAGTACAAAAAGACGTCCATACTGGGAAAAAGATACAATAAAGATGCTTGGATTAGAAAAAGTATGCAACTATTTTAGTCATCCTCGGTGTTGTTTAAATTTGCTTTACATTTCACACTTTCTAAAATTGTCTCTTGTTTTAATGTATTACTTAATGTAACTTGTTTGTAATTAACCTTCAGTTTAACGTTTTCTAAAAATAGAGCTATTTGCTTTTTCAGTTGATTCATAACATTATTCCTTTGTTTGTAGGCACATACCCCTCAAGTTCACAAGAATATCCCTTCTGTGAATGCAAAACTGAAAGTGGTTAAACATTTGATAAGGTTTGTTGTTCATTATCTCTGCAGTTTTAAAAAATATGTTATCTAGTGTGATTCTAAATGCCTTTTTTTCTTTCACAGAATCCAGCCCCTGAAGCTGCCACAAGGACTTCCAACAGAAGAGAATATGTCTTCCACATGCCTCAAGAGCACTGGGGAGTTAGTAGTGCAGTGGCATCTAAAGCCTGTGGAGTAGGAAGCAGTTAAGTCCTGACACCATTGCAGCATCAGATTAAAAAGTGCAAATTATTTTTATTTAAAGTTGGTGAGAAAATGTTTTCATTAAAATCTTTAAAATGTATTTGAAATCCCAGTCTTCTCACTGACTGCTGATTCTTCCCTACCATATAGATTTATAAGTTTGGTTATTTAATGTTCTCCCTTTTCCCATAAGAATTTCACTCTAAAGTAGGTAAGATCAGCATTGTTGAATATCTAAATTTAGATCCTCTGACATCATAGCAATTAACTTATTTTTGTGTAGAAATTATTTCCTAATTTAACTGGATTCCTCAAATTCTTTGAGTGACTCTATTTAGTCCACTTTATATTGCTATAACAAAATCTCTGACCTTAGTTTATAAGGAAGAGAGTTTTATTTTGGTTTCAAATACTGAAAAGTCCAAGCTTGGGCAGCCACACCTGTGAGGGCCTCCTACGGTGTCATAACAAGGCAGATGATATCGTATGATCTGAGCATATGGGAGAGTGGTAAGTGGTGGAGGAGCTTGCTGAGGAAGCCAAAATGACGTTAATGCTTTTGTGTAAGACAGATATTAATCCCTTCTGAGAAGTGACCCCATGACACAGGCCCCTCCACTGAAGATCCCACTACCTCTTAAAGATCCTTTCACTTCTCAGTACCAGTACATTGGAGGCTAAGCTTTTCAGCACATGAACAGAATATGGTCGTGTATCCATACACGACATAGGAAAGTTATGTCTGATTCATACTACTGTCTTTCTTATTCACATCCCTCCTCCCTTCCCTTCATTCCCCTTTCTCTTCTACTCCACTGAAATTCTATTCTGTCCTCCCCTCTTATTGTGTGTTAACATCTGCATATCAGAGAAAACATTGGCTTATTTCACTTAGCATGATAGTCTCCAGATACATTCATTTACCAGCAAAAGTCATGAAGTCATTCTTCTTTATGGCTGAGTAACATTCCATTGTGTATAGATACCACATTTTCTTTATCCATTCATCTGTTGAAGGGTACCTAGGTTGGTTCCATTATTTAGCTATTGTGAATTGAGCTACTATAAACATTGATGTGGCTGCATCACTGTAGTATGCTGATTTTTAAGTCCTTTGGGTAAATACTGAGTGGGATAACTGAGTCAAATGGTGGTTCCATTCCAGGTTTTCTAAGGAACCTCCATGCTGCTTTCCAGAGCAGTTTTACCCATTAGTGCATTTTGTTTTCTACTGTTGCATAATAAATTATCAAAAACTGCTGCTTGAAACAGCACACACTTGTTAACTTGAAATGTCTGTGGGTCTAAAGTGAGGACAGTTTGGCTGGGTCATCTGTTCAGGATCTCACAGGCTGCAGAAAAATCTTTTGCCAAGGTTGGGTATCTTCAGAGCTTGACTTTAGAGGATCTGTTCCAAGCTCCAGGGTTGTACAGTTCAATCCTTGTAGCTGTAGGATTGATGTCAAGTTGTTCCTTCAAAACCAGCAGCAGAGAGAGACTCACAAGAAGGGCACTATGAGGTCATAATTTACATACAGTCCCAAGGACCCATCACCTTTGTTGCATTCCATTAGCTGGGAGCAAATCACAGGTCCTGTCCTGGCTGGAGGAAGAAGGGAATTCCACAAGTATGGGGGCAGGGATCATAGAGGCCTCCTTACACCACAATTGCAATTCCCTTTTCAATCTAAAATTTGGATATATTTTATTATCAGTTAGTTTAAAATACTTTCTACTTAGATCTTCAGGTTATTTAGAAGTATGTTAATCTTCAAAATTGTGTGTCTTTCAGGCCAAAAACCTGTTCCCTTCATCTTTTCTCACTACAATGCTAAATAATATGCGTATTCTAAGTGGCACAGTTTCCCAAGGACAATGTAAAATTGCACAGGCCACATGTGAGGTCATTTTCCATCCCTGGTGAAAGAGGAGGAAGAAGAAACAGCAGCTTTTGACATGAACAAGATTGTTTCTGAAACCCCTGTGATGTTATTTGCCTTGTTTTTCTAGAAATGAGATAATTTGCTTAACATAGGTAGGAAGTATCCCTTCTTTCTTATATTCAAGGATTAATTAAGTATTGGCTTTTGTTCCATAGCTTAGTTTCAGCTTGGTTGTTTTTGTCAGTTTTTTCAGAGTTGTTTTCAGAACCCCCAAACACTGGCCTTCCCTTCTCAAGGGGCCCTACAGAGTCTGCTTCTCAATATCCCTGCCAGAGTGCTTTATGCTCTCCCCCCCCACACACTTTTTTCTGCATCTTTAGAAACAAAAGATGGAAATAGCATAGTAACTCAACTGCCCTATTTTTACTTATATAGAGTATTACATCAAACTGCTGCAGAATGCACATTTATTTCAAATGCAGATGTATTGCCACTTTCCAAAATAAACATTCTAGGCCATAAAGAATCTCAAAACATTTTTTTCCCTAATGCAACTGGGAATTGAATCCAAGACCTCATGCATGCTAGCCAACTGCCCTTTCCCCACCTTTTCGTAAACTTTTGGAAACAAGCCCCCCCCACCCCCGCCGCAGTAGCTGAGATTATAGTCATGCACCCCCACCATCAGCTCAACAACTTTTTAGGGAACCGAAATCATATACAATATGTTCCTTAACCACTATGAACTTAAATTTAAACATAAATAATGTAAAGATATTAGATCTCCATATGTTTGAAGATGAAGCAACATACTTCTAAATAACCTGAAGATCTAAGTAGAAAATATTTTAAACTAACTGATAATAAAACATATCCAAACATGTATCATGCAACCAAAGCAGTGTGTAGAGGACAATCGTTAGATAAAGAAAAGAAGCACAAATTAAAACCATAAAATAGGATAAAGAAAAATAATAATATTGATCCTTTTGAAGTGGGACAGAAAAGGCTGGACCCCCAAGGAATTATCAAGAAGCAGGTTAATAAACTGCAGGGTCCAGAGAGTCTGTTGGATAGCCTAAAACATTCTCCTCTGGACAATGACTAGAATTTCTTTGAACTTAATATCCAGTGTGGGGTGGGGGCGGTGAGGGGGGAGTTGGAGATTTACATGCAGAGGAGTCAACATCAAAGTTCTCAGTGCTTTTTGTTTCATTTCTTATGACAGAGGTTCACAACCAAAATTAGCTTTTGCAAGACAGAGTAGAGCAACAGAAAATAGGGTGGGAAGTATCCCTTCTTTCTCATATTCAAGGATTAGTTAAGTATTGGCTTTTGTTCCATAGCTTAGTTTCAACTTGGTTGTTTTTGTCAGTTTTTGAGCCCATTGAGCCCTTCTGCAGATATCTTTTTGACTGATATTTTATTAACAAGAAAAATTGTGGTAAGGGTCTCTGAAGAAGTTTAATTAAGATGCAATGGTAGAGGAGGGGGTGCCCACCACATTTTCAGTTAATAAACATGATATTGGTTGTTCATGCTGTGTGTGAGATGTGCCTCCCTCTAAATCTTCTGGGCACTTTACTTGTCTGATATGGAAAAAATAATAATGACAAAAATCGATGAAAGGGCTGGGGCTGTGGCTCAGTGGCAGAGCATTTGCCTAGCACATGTGAGGCTC